ATTCTGTGAAGTGTATACTTAAATATGAATGTTCCACAAATTAATGTGGCAGTAATTGTATACATGTGTGTAGGTGAAGAAGCTGTTGTGAACTGGAAGTTTGTCCTTCCCCTGCCCACTTCTTTTTTGCCATCATATGCTATAGGTTTATAGTTACTAAGACATTATTTATAGCTCCTAGTTACTATGTCCTAAGTTTGCCGTTGTGGTAGCAGGGCAGGTTTTAGAATTTAGGGTGGGCTAGCTAAACAGAAAAGACAACAAGCAACCATCACCCCTCAATACTGGTAGCTTTTGGACAAATAGCCTTGGACATTATGCTGCCTGAGGCAAATGATCGCATAGGACTTCTCCCATTCCCTGTAGAAAAGGCAAGCTGACTAACAGTTGTGTCTTACTTCAACACTGTAAATGGGTGGGTCATTGTGCTCAGCTTCATCTGAGGGCAGCAGGCTAGTCTGAGGCAAGCTATGTGGCACACAGTACTCTGGCCTCCAACACTACCCCATTGGTTCCCCATCCTTCAGCCTCTTCTGTGGACACCTTGCTCTGCCTTAGTGGTAGGACTGTCCCTGTCTTCAGTGTTTCTCCAGTCAATGATAAATCAAGTTTACTGCTGGGAAGCTCATCGGAGCTGTCTCTTGCCCCATTTTTCTGCATATTGCTGCCACACTGGGGATTCTCAAAGCTGAAGCTGAATGAACAAAACCTCTTGACAGGAAGGTGGGTTTTCACTTTCCACTGGCTGCAATAACTGCAGACTCTCCTATTCTTCCCACAACTTCAAATCTTTTAACGAGTATCATTTTAAAAACACAAATTGTTGTCAAGAGCTGTGAATAAATATCGAGGCAGAGCAAGACATCATCTCATGTTTTGGGTTATTCCAGAGATGGTGAGTTTTGATCCAAGATTACACACCAGTTTTAGGAATTGTTCCAAAAGTATATCCCCCAAGCCCTGATTAGTTTGGGATGTTGGGATAATGTCCTGTGGGACCAGAATTGATTATAATTGTTTGTAACAGCTGCCAATAACTGCAATTCTACATGACGGTTACAAAAGTAATCTCTCTCATGGGAAGATGGTTTACAAAATGAAAATAATTTACAGAAAGAGAAAGGATTATTGCCATAATAAAACTGATCACTAAATTATGACAGAGTTACCACAAACTCCTTCTTACGCAAATAATAACAGTGTGTGGGAAGGTATGCAAAAATAAACATTCCCTCCAGTAAAGGATTATGGGAACTCCATAAATTATAAGTCAAACGATTTGCTATATTTTTTTCTCAATACAGTACACTATCCAGTGAAAGACATTATACAAAGTTGGATCATTGGTTTATCTTGCTCTGTATGATCTGCACTGACTGGCAGCTGCACTCCAGAATTTCACTCCAGAACTTGAGACCTCTGGCATGAAAAACTTGCACTGTACTACTAACTACAGCAACGTCCCTTGGAGCCAAAGAATTTGGATTTAAGTGAATTTAGTACTGCTGTGCCGTCAAGCTTTCTTTGCAAAGACCATTAGCAAACTGTGTGTGTGTGCGCGCAGCACAGCATATCTCTCTCTTTATCTAAGATACTCCTGGCATGTCTTGAAGTACAGCCTCAACATAGCTATCCCAATCGATGCCACACACTACCACCTTCAGACCACATGACTCCTCTCATCCACACCAGGAGGTTTCTAAATAGGCACATTGGCCAGGAGCCAAAGTTCCATGAAACTTACTCCACGAGCCAAAATGCTTTAGACTTATTTTCGTCAAGTAGCAGCAGCCCACCACTTTTGAAATGCAGAGGTGTTTCAAAAGCAGTTTGTGATCTAGAACAGGGACCAGCAGCTCAAAGGACAAAATAAATAAATAAATCCCAATCTACCACAAGCCCTTTGCATGAGCCTAAGCAACTAATAAGATCCTGAACACAGACAACTGAATTCCATTGTGCTTTTGGACAGAGTGACCGTCAGTGGTTGTATATTCCACACATTCTGTGGATCTTTGTGTGAGAGGGGAGTATTGTATCTGGCACAAAATTTGATATCGTAACAAAAAAAAAGTATCACAGGTTTTCATTTTTCATGCCAAGTAACAGAACTTTGGAGAGGGCGTTAAATAAGCATGCATATCTACATAAGATACGTAAACTTTTAGAGTGGTATTCAACTAAGTCTTACTCAGAGTGATGCGAGTGAGATGATTGTCAATGCAGGGGTAGCTTGAAAAATATTTTACCTGCCCATTGATGTTGGAGCAGGGGCTTCTTTTAACAGATCTGGGGGTGGTGTAAAGTTCTGCCATTGACAGGGGTGTAGCTGTGAATTGAAGGAGCATCACTGCATATATCGTCAATGGGTTCCACCCCTGCACCACCCACATTCTGCCCACTTCACTGTTTCAGCCATTCCACCAGTGTCTGTTTTGTGGTGGCAGCACATATTGTATTGCACCAGGATAGTAGGACTTCCATTAAATCCTAAGGCCCCTCAGCCAGCAGATCTGAATATAGGATTGCACCCTACGAGACTGCTAACGACTCTAGTCAAATAGAGGCAGTCTCAAAAATCTTCACAGTGAGAAAGCCATCATTCACTCATATTCCACAGCTTATAAGGGGAAAAGAAAGGTTTGCATTTTAAGGTTTGCATTGCTCTTTTTAGCTAAATGGCAGTGCACCTGGAAAAAAGGCATGCTAACCAGATATCTTTGAGTGTGACAAGATAATTCATTTAATTTATTTTGCATAAAAATGAATAAGGATCTGATTACAGTAATAAGCCTAAGATATGATTAATAGCTAAAGTGTGCTGCTGCCATTTTATTTCCTATCTCCTGCTCCGACTCCTCTTTAACACTCAGGTAACTGTCAAAAATGGACCTAGCTATTATGGATGACAAGGGGTAAATGCCTTCATGTTGTCCTCCAAAGGTTAAAGTTTACCAGCCTCAGTTGGAAGCCACAATCTCCAATAACCATTAATCCACTAAACTCCAGTAGGAGTGAACATATTTATTGCTGCAGTCACTAAAGGGTGAAATAAAGATTAGTTTTTAGTTAGGAACGCAAAGCTTTTTAGATCAATACAGGCCCACTGCTGGAATCAATCTAAACTTTGGAGATTTTTAGGTAAAGATTTACAGGGCTCTCTTTTGCACAGTTAATATTCCAAAACTCGGGGGTGGGGTGGGGTGGGGGTGGGGGGAGTTGTCTGTGCTACATTACATAGTAATCAAATTGAGTAAACACTAGTCACTTCATAAACTGACCTCGGCTGTGCACATAGCAAATGAGTGTACAGTGATAAAAACACCCATAATGTGGATTGTAAATTTGCCAATAAACAGGTAAAGCCAAAATGTGTACATAGGCTAACATGATAAAATGTTACAAGTTACATTTGTCTATTTGAAAACATAAATAATCAATAGACATTAATAATGAAATTGTTGTTGCGTTTCTTTATTACTGTGCATATTAAGCGTCTCAATTATTTCTACTTAGTTTGATAGATAAATGTATACACTCATTTTATGCAAGGCTTTGAAGAGGATATAGAATTGCTTTTCAAAACAGAAGCTACTCTTTAGATGAAAGAGCAAGTGGACTGGAAATACACAGCTTGTTATACCCCTCTGCTGTTCATGTTTGATGCATGTATACAATTTATTATGCAATTTCGTCAGATTTGACAAAGTAATTGCCTGGCAAGCCACACAAAAGGTCTGAAGGTGGAGTAGAAAACGACTTAATAGATCAGTGTCTATAAATGATATTAATAGGCATTATATATGTGTGGCAGACACCTAAATTGTTTTCTGCATTGTCACATGATTATATTATGACATTCCATGTATTAAATTCATTTTCATCAACATGGCCAAGACAAAAGTATTCTGGTATAGTGAACTGTAACTTCTCAAAATCACGAGTCATTCCTATAACCTAATATTTAATACATCTCACAAGATCATGTGTGTTTTAATGCATTTGAGAGAGAAAGAACAACAAATTTTAACTGGATAGTAGGCAGTATCTTTCACTCTCTTTATCATATCCTTACATTACAGATAGCAACCTACACTTTACAACTTATATAAAACAGGATATGGTAACTATTTCTTCTAAATCAGCGTTTCCCAACTTGTGGGCCATGACCTGCAGAGGGTTGTGAAATCTTTGCAGGTAAGTCTTGAGCTTTAAAAGCAAACTCAAAATAATTATTGTTTGTAATCCTTAACTGGTACAATGAACGCCTTGTACATTTTTGTTTTTTGTTTGTTTTTGGTAAGTTATAATGCTCTGTTGACCCTTGTAACTGAATGTCAGAAAGGCTTGAGTCTTGCATTTTAGCACTTGGGAACTAATCCCTGTTGGCTGGTGGCAGATAAGACATAAGGTCCAAAATTCAGGTGACCATAAATTGATGGGTCACCATAAATTTGGACTTGTTGGTAATGATAATGATGATGATAGTAGTAGTAGTGGTGGTAATAATAATATCTATATCACAGACCCTCTTGATATTGCTGGACCCCAGGTCCCATCAGCCTGATTCAGCATGGACAATGGTCAGGGATGATGCAGAGTTCAGCAACATTTTGCTACAGGTATCCCATCCTTATGCTAAATGGCAATGATTAAACTTAACATACCTCTTATATCACATTAACACAACCAATGGAAAGAGAAGCACTCTTATCTTTCTATCTATGGTCCCAGAGTATGTTCTGAAGTCATATTTTAATGTATGTGTTATTTATTTGTGGCTGTAAATCACTCCAAGTTACATTTGTAAGTAAAAAAGACTAGTAAGTAGTGGTGGTGGTAGTAACAATAATAGAGTGCAATAGCAACAATGCTGAAGCTAAGTAAGTCTATGTCTAGTCAGTTCCTGGAAACCCTGTGTATGTCTCCTTAATGTTTCATGATGGAAGAACATAAGATATAAGATTTAAATAAATTAAAATGAAATAAATGCATATTTTCATTGTGCATTTATTATGCAACAGCAGAAATCCAACATTTTTTATTATTTCAGATATATTTTGCACATTCATATACCTAAATAACAGCCATTTTAAAAAGAAAGACAGGAAGGAAGGAAGGAAGGAAGGAAGGAAGGAAGGAAGGAAGGAAGGAATTTCACAGCAGATGGATCTTGTTTTCTACACCCTGTCCTTTTGTTATATTATCAGCATAAGGTTCATCAATGGGTCAAATTTACTGGTGGTGAATTAATCCACCTCCCACAAAGATTGCTTATATCCCTTATATTCCATTACAAAATGCATACAAACCACCCATTTCTGCTTACATCTGTCTTGCATGGTTAATATATGTGGACTTTGTCCCAGTGTCAGTTCTCAGTTCTTTAACATGCTTAATTTAATGTTGAATTTTAGCAACAAGATGGTATTAGAGACTGAAAGATGTGATGTGCTTAAGAAAACTACCAAATTAATAATACCGTGCCTTAATGCTGACTTTTCTTAATCATAGCAGTTAGCAATCCTGAAGATTGACATTCTTCATTACTCTTTTAGAAGGACGTAATCAAGATGAAGATATTAACCATGATCCCCTCACCTCCATTATAAGCCATGTAAACATTATGGTGGAAACGTTTTTATTATACTTATTTTAGACCAAGGAACTTATTGCCACAGGGTATCACCAAGCCATGAAACTTTAAAACAGGTCTGCAGAAATTGAGACCCAGCAATCCAACCACAGTCTAACAACCATGGTCTTTTAGACACTTGACATACCCTGTTTTTGCAGTACCACAAAAGCAGCAAAAACAGGCTTTTGGAGCCCCCGGTAAGCTACGATAGCTGACTCTTGGTCTGTGTTTCACTTGATGAATTAAAATTTGTTTTAAATTACTTTACCCGCTCCATAAATGACAGTGATACTTGTTGCCTTGACGGTAGTTGTGCAATGTGGCCCTGCCTTCACCACCTCACTGTTACAGGCCTTACCTCAAGTGGGAGGGCATTCCATGGGAATTTGGTGTGGTGGTTTGCAACATTTCAGTCTGACATCTTCATTCAAAATTGCATCTGATGGTGTCCAAATGTGGGTGAAAACTGTCTCCACCTCGAGAACAATGATGCCAGATTGGGTGACAATATCTCTAGAAGCATTTGAAAGCACAGAGAATGGACAGACAGACAGACAAACCATTTTCCAAAATATATAGTGGATAAGTAAGTGGTTCCTCAGTTTGGAATGGCAAGTGGACATCAACTATTAGTACAAATTACAGTAGTGGTTTGTTTTGAAGTTGTCTTTGTAATGTGAAGTACAACTATTGAAGCCACCAATTCATCACATCCAAGCTCACAGCTGCCATAGGACGGTAATTATTTTCAGTCTCTTCTGACCTAAGTCCGATTTCAACTGATGATTGGAACATGAAAGGTTCCATAAACCATTATCAACTGCCTAAGGCGTTTAGTTCCCCCACAGTTTCTTTATGTAATTTAGCTTTTTAAAGAATCCCATGAAAGTCGAGTGCTTCAGCATAAAAAAAGAAGATAACTTCCTCTCTGCTTGTGTGATTTCCTTCAATGGTAAGAACTAGGGGGAAAACCCTCCATAAAGCAAGCATTTTATTTTCCTTGGCAATTTGGGGTGGGGGAAAAACTCCAAGAGGGGTCAAATCAAGATAGTGCAAAGGAATAAACCATACATAAGTGGAGATACATTTTGAATTTTTTTAAACACCCTACCCCCATGTAGAGCTAGTGGAATCTTGTGATATGTGTGATTAAGATTGGATAAATGAAGAAGGGATAAATTTTGAACTCCCTGAACCTGTTTTTTAAAAAAAATTAATGACACAATGCAAGACAATTTCATCATGAACCTGCTGCATCATGCATGGCTTGGCCCTGAGTAAGTAGTATCTAGCTCAGAATGCTGTTGCCGTCTTTTATTCGAAAGAAAGAAATTAATAGATTTCAGGTGTTCGTAAATGGCGGAACTTGTGGAAGGAATACATGTGCACAATTTCAAGGGATTTCCAAGCATTGCCACTGAGGTGGAGGACATTGTGCTGATGGCCAGGCAAGTGGGTGGTGATGGCTTTGTTGATCTCATCCAGAAAGAAGTGGAAGAGTTAATTGAGGGCCACTGACTATGAATACAGCTTTCCAAGGCTTCAAACAGGAGCCTTTCCCAGCAGTACCTGGATAAACATAGATATAACATATGTAATCTTCTGAATGTAAAGTATACACTCTACTCTACTCTTGGTCAACAGCTCTCATAAATATGATACTGCCTGTAGTAAAACAGAAGGGAATAATTCCTTTAATTTCTACTGAACCCATTTGATATCTGGTTATTTGCATTGGGGGTCAGGAAAATGCTAGGATCTAGAAGTCGAAAGGAAAAATTTGTCTAACTGATACAAACTATTTGATGGACAGTTGCTGAGAACCCTATTTGTATTTCGGTATTATGTTTATATATAACACATTTACACATTCCCCATGCTGAATGCTACTTGTTATACTTTGTCTTCCACCTAAAATGTAAAAGCAGCAGAGATTAAAACTGCTGATAGTGCTCAGTTGAATAGACCAAACACAGGAGCAAATTTCTGCACCCTGAACAAGTTGTGCTAAAATTAATCTACTGCTATCTTTCTATTTGAAGACAAATTTGGGGTGATCCAATAGAGGTGTCCTCTAATGTACAAGAACTAGAGAAGATTGTGTTCCAATTCCACTTTGCCCCTGCAGCCCTCTGTTCCACTTTATTGCTGTTATGGTTGGTCTCCCAGCCCTCTGAGCCAGGATTTTCCAGGACACATGGACTGCAGTGGGAAGAAAGAATTGGAGAAAACCAACCATTCTCCTGTTAGGAAGTTTTAGGCAAAGTTTGGGGTTACAGAAACTTGTGAACCAATCTTTCTGCCTGGTACTCATATGTAAAATATACATCTTTATGCAACCTGTTTGGCATGATATTAGATTTATGATGTTTCACTAGAATCATGTTATTATTTATTAAATGTGTACCTCACCATATAGACCTGCCATAACTCCCAGATTGCTAAACATGTAAGATAGAGAGCTCATGAACCTGTAGCTCTGTTTTGCACAAAGTATCTCATGGTTTGGTTTTGTTTTTTAAAAAGTGGAAGGGTAAAATTCATTGTTGATGTTCCACTTATGAAATTGCTATCTTGGGGGGGGGGGGCTACTCTACAGCTGAAAGCAAACAGACAAGTAGTAAGTGTGGAGAACCTATACATATGAGTGAGGGGCTCTATCGGTTCTGAAACCCTTCTTGATAGTATGTTTCTGAGCACAATTCAAAGTGTTGGTGCTGATATTTAAAGCCCTAAACAGCCTCGGCCAGTATACCTGAAGGAGTGTCTCCACCCCCATCACCCAACCCAGACACTGAGGTCCAGTGCCGAGGACCTTCTGGTGGTTCCCTCACTGTGAGAAGCAAAGTTACAGGGAACCAGGCAGAGGGCCTTCTCGGTTGTGGCGCCTGCCCTGTGGAACGCCCTTCCATCAGATGTCAAAGAAATAAACAACCATATGACATTTAGAAGACATCTGAAAGCAGCCCTGTTTAGGGAAGTTTTTAATGACTGATGTTTTAATGTATTTTTAACCTTCTGTTGAAAGCCGCCCAGAGTGGCTGGGGAAATCCAGCCTGATGGGCAGGGTAGAAATAATCAATTATTATTATATTATTATTTATATCAAGTCCATAAATAAAACTCCATGGGATTTTAATGAACCCACAGTGGTTGCTTCATATAATACTGCCCCCAAAAGGAACAATGGTGACCAAAGTGTGGAGGGTAAACTTTGCACTTCAGGCCACCTCGTGTTTACTTTTGGAATGACACTGAACATGCACCATTCGTAGGCATATGGACATAAAACCTAACTTTGGGGATCAATCTGGATAGCAAACAAAACAACTATTTTCCATTAATGAATAGGGAACTCTCATTTCTCAGCACCAAGAATGCAATGAAAAATTGCTACGTCTGACAGAACTTCCAGAGGGACCTCTTCACAACTTAAGGCAGTATAGGATTATGTGACACATAATTTGTTATTTAATTATTTAATGTAATATAATGTAAAATGGCCTTCAGGGGTTATTTACAGCTATAAAAGAAAGTAATACAGTAAAGTTCAACAGCAATGGAATGACAGAAAAACTGCTATTCCCAAGGGCCTTAGTAACATTCCACAGCTGTTGCTATTGATGTGTATGTGTGTGTAAACGAGCATTCTGTGCTCCTGTTTTTGGCACGTCTTTAGCACACACCAAACATTCAGTAACACAAAACTGATTGTTTTGCATGGGGTTATCTCCATCTTTCTGCTAGCTGCGCTCTTCTATAAAGGTCTCTGGTGTATCAGTGTGGGGTCACTAGGTGGTTTGTGGGGACAGGGTGCACTGAATACTCCCCCGTCCAATGCAGACTACGCCCTTAGCCTGTCAATGCAATATGCCAAGACACGGAATGCTACATTAAGAAAATGTACTATTGTATAAATTACATTGCAAAAAGTGTAAATTAATCTGAATCATTTGGCACCTTCATTTTCTTTATGATATCAGTTGCTGCACTGTAATGTGGGTCTCCCCATTTCCTGTAAAATTTGATTTCCAGCTGGTTTTCTTCCATCAGCAGATGTTTTTGCATTCTTTTGTAAACTAAGAAGGAAGAAAATAAGGGCTAGTGTTCCAGATAAACCCCCTGGCATGCATTTTAATTACAAGAGCCTTATTAGTTGGGAATCTTAAGATTTTATCCCAGCTCCAACTTTCTGTGAAGTGCTTCTCTTCAAGTCTCCTTTAATGGGATTTTTATTCAAGGTCATATATTCCTTTTTGGGCATTTGGAGATTTGACAACAGAAGAACAGAGCTATAAAAGTGATGATGTAATATATCACAGGATCAAGTGTGGACAATTTGTCCACTACTCCAGTGCCTGTTGGTGGGAGGAATACACCAAAATTTCTTCAAAGACCTATGACTCAATTTAATAAAGCATCCACAAAACCTGCACCAAACCACCACCACCTCCTACCTCGCCCTAGGAAATGAGTGGTGCAAGTTCATAAGTATCTCTAGATCAGACAAAAAGTTGAAAGGCTCTGCTTGCTAAAGAGTAGTTGTTTTCCTGTGGTTTGGGTCAGGCTTCTGCACTGCAAAGTCTCTAAACTGGAAGGTGAATCTGGCAATATGCTAATCTGACAATAAAAAGTGACTTCTGAACCTTTTCTCTGCTGAGGAGCTGACAGTGAAGCACAGAGACAGTTGTCTAACCAGACAAAATGACAGAGAAAATATGCTTTCAAACAAGAGCATAAATTGTAGGTGGTGCAGATGAATCAAAGAAAAAGCAACAGCTATAGTACTAATATTATGCACTAGCCTCACTTTACTTCTGCTTCTTCATCTCTCTCCTTCACATATGCATGAATGGAGGGTGTACCCTGTCAAACTAATAACAGAGGGTTGGGGGGGGTGACAATATCTCTTGTACTGAGACCAGACATTTCCATCACATGGGGCAACTAGGGAGGGGAGGGGAGGCAGAAAACAAATACAGTGCAGTATGATTCCAACACCATTCTGTGCAGACACAAAAGTTTGCATATTGCACTGGGCGCTTGAAGATCATAAATCTATGCATGAGAAAGATGTAGTGGAAATTTTTTGGGGGGGATTAGAGTTTATTTTTGTCATCTCTGTGAGACAGCTACTCATTCATCCAGATCACAGCTAAGAAAAAAAGCTGGTCACAGAAATTAGCAGTTTCAGCTCAGCAGCAAAGTCGCCAGCCTGTGAAGGCAGAGAGAAATTGACTAATTAGCAATGCGCACTAAAACTTGACGGTTCTTTATAGAGAGAGAGAGACGAGAGAGAGGAGAGAGAGAGAGAGGCAGAGGAGGGGGTCGCTTTCTCCCCTTCTTTCTTCCAAAGATGTTTGAAATCGCAGTCATTTACGCTCGACAATTTTTACAATAGCCTTGAGCCATAATTTTGCGAGTCTCTCCAGCATCCATCCCCCTGTATGGTCTCTCTCCACCGGCCATGCACGACCGTTTCTCTCCCCAACCGTGGATTTCCTATTACTCTCGTTACGACTCACTGAGCCCCAGGCCCAAGGATAATGATGTGTTGTTTCTTGGTAGCATAATTTGTCACACGTACATTTTTTCTTCTTCTTCTCTTGCAGAAAGCTCTGCGCGCGCTCTCTCTCTCTCTTTCTCTCTCTCCCCTTCTCCCTCTCGTACATTTTCTTGCTGTTGCTAATTCATGGTGATCAAATGATGTACGACAAAATAAATTGTAAAGAGTGACTGCTTGGAGTTGGGCACCAGAAGGTTTTTTTGTTTTTTTTTTTGTTTTTGTTTTTGGAAGGAGCGATCAAACCTTTAAAAAGGAAGGACAATTGATTTTTTTTTAGGGGGGGAGCTTAAGTGAACCTTTACTTTGGCAGCTGGTTGTGGAGCAGGTAAGTTTCTGGCCTTCGGTCTATCCGTCTTGAGTATTTTCTCTCTCTCGTGGCTTGTTTATTGTCGTGAAAGCGGGGCGTGTGTGTGTGTGTGGTTTCCGTGGGCTTAGAAGTATGTGGCGATCGGGGGGGGTGCACTTGTGTTGCACGCACGTCTTTGGAGAATAAACTCCGATTGCAAGAAATGGTCAAAGGAGGAAGAAAGAAGGGGAGGGCGGATGAGAGGTGTGTGTGAGGGGGGGGGAGAGGAATGACCGGGTCCACTTAAAGGGAGAGGCTCTTGGAGATTTCTGAAACCCCGACTGTTGGGAGGCAAGGGAAGTGACCGGGGAAGGGGACCTCCCTGCCACCTGGCCACAGGCGAAGACTGCAAGCGCTGCCCACCAGAAGGGGAAGCTACAATGGAAGTAGCAGCCCTCGCCGGGATCCCGCAGAGAAGCCGTGGCGGCGGCGGCGGCGGCGGCGGCGCTGGCTGATGCCGCGGAGGGCTCGGCTCTGCCGGAGGCGGGCGACGGCCAGCGCGGGTCTCTTTCCCCTCAGCGCGAGCAGGTGCAACTCCCAGGTTAAGGCTCGGTGTATTGATTCCCCTCAGCCGCCGCCGCCGCCGCCGCCCTCAGAGTCCAGGCGACTTTGGCTTGGGGAGCTCCGGCTCCTGGCGGCGCAGGGGCACTTTTCCGCGCCCGCCCGCCCGCCTCTTCCTCTCCTTCCCTCATGCCCCCCAATCTCTCTCTTTCCCCCCCTTCACATCCACCCACCTCCCCACTCGAACTTCCCAGAGTTGCCGGAGTTAAAGCGGCGCCGCCTTCCGCCCACAGGAAAAGCAACCCGCGCAGAATCAACGCCAGATTCTGGCGGGGGACTCGGCTCGGCCTGCCTCTCTCCCCGCTTTGCCCAATGCAGTGCAGCACGCGCAGCGAGAGGCGGCCGGAGTTGGGTGCACACTGCTGCCCCCTCTCCTCTCCTCCTCTCCCACAGACGAGGACATTCCTTCCTCCCCCCCCCCCCCGCCCTCGCCGTGCTGCTTCAAGGCGAAGCGTCTGGCGGTTCTGCAGACGCCGTCCCTCGCAAAGGCGGGAAAGGCGCAGTTTGGGGAAGGGGAGGGGCATCCGACAGGGGCATCTTCAGGCAGGCTGTCTGAAATAGCGGCCTGGCCGCCCTCGACTTTGGCAAGGGCTGCGTGGTTTTTCCACCCGCCCTCTTTCGTCTCGATAGTTTCTCTGAGAGTTTCCGCCGCTTGCCGTACAAGCCCAAACTCTACCCCACCTTCCTTTCCCGCCTCCTGCGAAGGGAGCAGCAGCAGTGTGGCGCGCAAGTGGAACGCGCGCCTCCTCCGCTCCTCCCGGGTTGAAAGAAAGTAGTTGCCCACGAGCCGTGTCCCACCCCCACCCCCGCCATTTCGGGAGGGAAGCAGCAGCAGCAGTAGCGCTTGCTGGAGATGAAAGCCCAAGCCCCATGGCGGGGGGAGAGCAGCACACCGAGAGTTTTAAGCAGCCCCAAGCCCGCCGTGGCGGCGGCGGGGGCGGCTGAGCAGGACGCGTCTCGGTGCTTGCGATAAGGGTGGACACGCCAGGCCTGTGAAAGCTCCGCGTTGGTTCTGGTGTGCCCCCCTCCACCCCCAGCCTCTCAACCACTCGTTTCCTCACCCCACCCCACCCCGCCTTGCCCCCTCTTTGCCCAGGTCGGAGGAGGCTTTCCAGTCAGGTGCGCTGAGGTTGCCCGCCATGTCCAGGTCCGGGGACCGAACGTCTACCTTCGACCCGAGCCATAGCGACAACCTGCTCCACGGCCTCAACCTGCTGTGGAGGAAGCAGCTCTTCTGCGACGTGACCCTGACGGCGCAAGGCCAGCAGTTCCATTGCCACAAGGCCGTGCTGGCCTCGTGCTCGCAGTACTTCCGATCGCTCTTCTCCAGCACCGCCGGAGGAGGAGGAGGCGGAGGCGGAGGAGGCGGCGGCGGCGGGGGGAGCGGGCACCACCACCACCACCCGCTGGGCGTCGGACCAGGTGCTCAGGACGGCCTACCCTCCAAAGAGCAGCAGCAGCAGCAGCAGCAGCAGCAGGAAGAGTCCGGCACGCCCTCCTCGTCCCCGGAGGACAAACTGCTGGCCAGCCCGCGGGCCATCAACAACCTGGTGCTGCAGGGCTGCTCGTCGATCGGGCTGCGCCTGGTGCTCGAGTACCTGTACACGGCCAACGTGACCCTGTCCCTGGACACGGTGGAGGAGGTGCTGTCGGTCAGCAAGATCCTGCACATCCCGCAGGTCACCAAGCTGTGCGTGCAGTTCCTCAACGACCAGATCTCGGTGCAGAACTACAAGCAGGTGTGCAAGATCGCCGCCTTGCACGGCCTCGAGGAGACCAAGAAGCTGGCCAACAAGTACCTGGTGGAGGACGTGCTGCTGCTCAACTTCGAGGAGATGCGCGCCCTGCTGGACTCGCTGCCTCCCCCCGTGGAGTCGGAGCTGGCGCTCTTCCAGATGTCCGTGCTGTGGCTGGAGCACGACCGAGAGACCCGCATGCAGTACGCGCCGGACCTCATGAAGCGCCTGCGCTTCGCCCTCATCCCGGCCCCGGAGCTCGTCGAGCGGGTCCAGTCGGTGGATTTCATGCGGACCGACCCCGTCTGCCAGAAGCTGCTTCTGGACGCCATGAACTACCACCTGATGCCCTTCAGGCAGCACTGCAGGCAGAGCCTGGCCAGCAGGTAAGTAAGAGAAGGCGAAGCGGGCGGGCGGGGGGTCCCATTCAGACAAAGCCTCATCGGATTAGCTGCGTGGGTACACGGAACTTGAGGTTCAAAAGTTGACTTCAGCACTACAGAGCTGTGAGCAAAACAGGGACAGCGCCTGGCTGAGGCGGTGGGTTGAACACACCCTCCCATAGGCACTGGATGAAAATAGAGAGGAAATATATATGGGGGGGGGACACACTATAGCAACAGCCACAGGAATATCATGGCTCAAAAAGGAGCCATGGCTTAGATATTTGGGGCCCTTTAAAGATGCTGCAGCTGTTTTGGATAGTCACTTCCTACTGCATCAATAACACGTGCAAAAAGTTTGCAGACAACTGAAGCTGGACCCTTATGTGGAAGGAAGTCACATGGGAACTTATTACTCAGTAGACCTGTATAGGATTGTGCTGTGGATTTCTGCTTGTGCT